AAGTGCATTTTGTTTGCCATTGCAGCAAATCCTCACCTTGCTCACAGTCGCATTCTCTGCATTTCTCCAGCAAAAGCAGCTCAGTCGGATGCAGCACCTCTCTAACCTTCCAGGTGCTCACATGCCACCTCCCAAGTAATGCAATCAAAACAATCCAGCTAAAAGCATTTCATCTGGCCTAGGCTGAAATGAATTGTTTCTAATAAAACTAATGCTCTTTGGGACAACTAATGGGTGCTTATTAGTACAGGCAATGGACTATTCAATCAACCATACAGGGAAACTAATGGGGATTGATGGCCAAAATACAAGATGAGGGCTTACCTCTTTAAATAAACAGCTGATGGGCTGGTGATCAGACTAATCTTAGGTATTTGTGGGGAAAGTTCATACCTAACCAATAAAGAGACAAACAAAATATGTGGAAAATAGCCTCACTGGGTCCCTGGGGGTTTTAATGTTATTGCCATGGCAGCAGGTGGGTTTCCCAGAGATGCTTGTCTTTCCAAACAGGACAGGTTTGGGGAAGAGTTAGAAAGCAGGTAGAAAACCTCTGGATGAACCTTTGCACTCAATGTGGCCCTTTTTTTAAACCACCTGTCAGACAATCCCAGCTTCCCTGCTTCATCTCCTCCCTCCAGCAAAGGCTTCCCAAGATTTTTCCAAAACCCAACATACTTATACCTTTTTCCTTTAGCAGACAGAGGAATGGAGTGATTTTCAGAGCCGAAAGAAGGGCACATGCACCTCTGGGGCTTCCAAGTCACTCTTCCCTGCAGCAAACCATTCCTTGATCTCCACCCTCCCATTCCTTCCCTTTGAAAGGCCTCTGACCGGATCACAGATGGCAATTCCTATGTGACAGATCCTAATGTCATTATTGACGACAGACCAGATGTCCAGGGAGGCATATTGCTCCTTTTAATCCAAAATTCATCAAGAGCCTCACCTTTGTAGTTTAGGGTGAGTGTAAAGGTATCTTCATGGGAAAGGGTTGGGGCCACACATTTTTTTCCCTCTTGCTTCATTTTCCCTTGGAGGAGGGGAGAGCTTTCCACAGCATGGCTGGGAGTGACTAAAGCAGACACCAAAGGGGTCCTGTTCTCAATAGCAGCAACATTAAAATGTTAAAAAAATCTCTCTCGAACTTTAAAAGGTTCTGGGAAGGGACATGCTTCATGTGACAGCGTGTGGATGAGCCTCAAGCCGTTACAAAGTGCTGCTCCTGGTCCTTGCTGCATTTTAGGTGCATAATTCTTAGTCGAGAGAAAGAAATAATTCCTATTTTGGGTTATGGAGCAATCCTGACTCCTAATGTATCAGTTTGTCTCCTGCCTGTCAGCTTAATATGACATATTTTTCCATAGATTAAGTGCTGTATAGCTCTCCTGCCATAAGGCACAGCAGCTGGATAAAAAGGGAATGACACGGGATCAGCGTACGCGGGAGATGCGGTGTGGACCACAGCTAGTTAGCACCAGGTAAAAATCCACAGGTGACTTGTTCCCACGAATATTTTAAAGCAAGAGCTCTCATGCTCATTATCTCTCTTGGAGACAGGGAAAAAATCCCAACAGCCTTTGTGGCTGGGAAGACAAAGCTTTGCTCGGTGGGAGATGTTCTATACGGCATAATGTATGCCGGGAGCAATCCCGGTGTTTTATGGGCCCGGTTAGTGTGAAGTGCAAAACAGGCTTGGGGCTGAGGCTGCATTATTCATGGGGGACCTTAAATATTTCAGTGCGAGACTGAGGTAGGGAACAACATAACAATGGTGTACTGTCCTTTTTCTTCCCCTAAAACCACAGTTTGTGTTTAAGAAGGCAAGCGGGTAATCTTTTCCTTTCAGTGTAATGCCATGCACTGACACATCCCAGGGAAAAGCAGGATAACCAGCCAGGCAAACCCCACAGTCCCTCCAAGGGAGGGGGAATTGTCCCGTCCAAAAGATCAGTCCTGTCTTCGGAAGAGGAACAACTCAGTGCCTGACATTTATATTTGGAGATGATTCACCAGTTCTGCTGTGCGTGAAGGGACACATCAGCAGGTGGGTGTGCAGCCAAGGAAAGTTTCTGGCAGTTTTTCCCCTCCGAAGCAGCGGGATTATTTCCACACCACTCTCCAATCCCTCTCCCGTGTATGACTTACTTATCAGAGGCAGTGGCTGGGTCACAGCAGGGCAGTGGGAAGCTGCATTCTAACCTGAAATTGCAATATTTGGGCTAATGTGGTCAGAGCAGTGAAGGGCAGAGGCAGGTGAAGAGGCAGAGCTGCCTCTGTGCAGATCCGCTGCTGCCATCAGCTGGCAACTGGAAACCAGCGCAGGGCACATCCTCTCCCTGGGACAAGAGCTAAACCAGGCACAACACACATCACTTATGCCAAACACTCCACTGGCTGTTTCCACTCCAAAGAGGCATTTTGGGGCACAAAAAAGAGCAATGCAGCAGATGGGATGCTCAGACACGGGGGAAGGCTGGACCTCTCCAGGCAAAACTTGCCTTTAAGTGCTGCTTTATCCTCTCCAGTGCCATGGAGCTGAGAATCACTGAAGCTTAGGGGCGGAGTGAGGGTGTGGACAGGGTTGGGTATTTTGGAGCTCAGCAGCAGTGGGATCGCTCAGGCAGCTTCCTACACACTGTTCACACAGTGCTGAAGTTGGACCAGAGCTCTGGTGAGCAGTTCCCCTGCAGACAGCCTGGGTCTTGCTCTTTATTCCTACAGCTCTAGTGTGGTGTTGAGACTTGTGCAAAGTGAGGTTTGGCCGAGCTTCAGATAACCTGTTATTTAAGATAACATGATTCTGGCCGGACCTACATGAGATTCCAGACCTTTCTCACTTCTGTTTCCTTTCCTGCAAAACACCCTGCAAAGATAAATCTTGGCAGCTGTCTTTTGCACGAGATAAAACAGAACCAGCTCTCCAGATCTGACACAGCTGAAGTGCACCAAAATCCATTTCTGCTCTTTCTAGAACCATCAGAAAGAAACTTAAGTGGCTTCTCCAACAGTAAGAAACCCTGAGATTTGAGTTCTGATGATTAATTTCTCTCTCATGTTCCTTCTCAGCTTAGATCACAGTTCATAGAGAGAAATTCAGATTTCATAGCCAGAAAACCTTATACTAGTCTATTGTATCAGTTTATTTCTGACCTGTTACATGTTCTGTGTTTCCTACATGGAGTCATTTGCATCCAGCCCCTTTCAAAACAAAGCTGCACAACTTTTCTTTTGAAATCAGCCCTCCAAAGGTGAGGAGACACAGGGCTCAAATATTTCTGAGATAACAGCCCTTTATTTGCCAGGAGATGTTGCTGCCCCTGGGACAACTGGTGTACATCCACAGGTCTCTTCCTACAGGACTGACAGGACCACTTTAAACACTGTTCTCTTTTTTTAGATTAACTGATAATTAACAGGCACAGATGCTGCATCTTTGAGAAGATGGAGAACACAGAGACTGCAGTGAAGGGGTGGGCACGACCTGCACATGTCCCATGCCAGAACACTTGGCTTCCTCCAGCAAGAGCATTCCCGAGAGCCAAATCCTGATGCAGCCCCTGCACTGCCCTGGGTATCCCCACATAATTTATCTCCTTGGAAAAGCTGCAAAGCTCTCATTTGGGAGGTGGGGAAGCAGCAATAGGTCCCCCCTTGCTGCAGGGGTGTCCCTGCAGACTCTCCCTGTGCCACCAGGCAGGTGCAGCGCAGACATTCGGGTGCTGCCATTCCCAGCTCCTGCCAAAGCTGACCCAGAGGATCACTCCTGACCCAGCTTGCATTGGAGCCCGTGACCTAGAGGTGAACTGCTCTATATCCCATATCCAGTCTCCCACTGAGTTTATTTTCTGGTGTGGCAGATCAAAGACCGCTGTAAGGAGAAAATCTATCAAAGGCTCAGCACCCTAAGATAGATCCAGCTCGCTTTTATGTTTACTTTTAACAAGCATGCTCCTTCCTATTGTTCAGCAATCGCTTTAAAATGGATAATTATCAGATTTCCCTATTAATGGGAAAAATCAGGCAGCCATAAATCTTAAAACGTGCTACTATCTGCACATTGCATGTATCACATTAGGGAAAAAACAATCTGTGGAGAAAAGCTATTACAGAGTGACCATGGCTCGGCTCAGCAGCTGGTTTTAATTTCAGCAGAGGATCCCCTCTGCTTCCCAGCATCCACCAGCCCTGCTCTTCCCACTGCTTCCCTGTAAGCACTGCAAAATTCCAGTGTCAGCCTTGCACATCATACACCACAGCAACTCTCTGCATCTGAGACAAAGACTGCCAGCTCCTCACTGCATCTGCCTTGTCCTTCATCCAATCCTAGAATTGTTTGGGTCGGAAGGGATCTTAAAAATCACTTCGTTCCACCCCCCTGCCATGGACAGGAACACCTTCCACTAGACCAGGTTGCTCAAAACACCATCCAATGTGTTTGAAAGAAGTGAAAAGTTCTTTTATTCCCTCTACACAGTGACCCACACAAAGTTGAACATGGACTCAAATGACTGGTGGACACACTGCCTTTCAAGTCCTGGTATCTCCCTTACTGCACAGAGAGCAAAAGAATAAGGGTACATGGGCCAAAAGGTACAGGTTGGTCTCGTGGTTAAAGCAACAGACTGGCACTCAGGAAATTCCAGGTGGGACTCTGGTCCTCTCCCTCAAAAAGGGTTGGAATCTAAAGTAGCCATGAGGACTAGTCTGAGTTTTTCTACAGATTTTGAGTGGCTTTGGGTAAATTGCTTACTCACCCTCAGTTCCCATTCCCTGTGCTTGCTGGGATACTCATGCCCATTTTGCTGGGATGCTGCAAGGATTATCTGGTATTTGGAAAGCTCTTAAATCCATGTGACTCACAAGTAACAATTAAATATGCTCCTGCTTTTAGATCAGAACTACAATAATTGAGAGCTGAGCACATTTTGTTTCGATTTTCCTATGACTGTCTGAATTCACTGAGACAAGTGACAGAGAAACGTGATACATCAAATTCATGACTATTTCCAAAACAGTTTACTTTAATCTGAGCAATTGGAAAAACGCTAAAGGCAAGACTATTTTACCCAGCTGACTTAAGGAGGCCGTTTTATTCCATATTTCTGTTTTCAATAAACATCCCAGGACAAACACGTTCCCTGCAGCAGATCTATGCAAAGGACAAAAAGCCGTTAAATCCTAAGGGGGGGGGGGCGAGAGGGGAAGAGATAAATAGTTTACTTCTATTATCTTTACCATATGTTCTATTCCAACTGGATACACATAAACAGCATGTAATCTTCAAGCTCAGCTTTAGACCCTTTGAAGTGACCTGACCATACTACTGATTTATTTCAAACTAACCTTTCTCTTTGAACCCTAGGTCAAGGTTAATTCTATAATAAAACATACCTTATACAGCTGGCTGTTCCAGTGGTGCTAGCAAGGAATGAAGCCCTCAGTCACAAGCATTTGTTTCACTGAGTGTGGTATTGTATTTCTATTTTCCCTTCCCTGTATTAATTTCCTTCACAGACCCTAGTTAAGGGGAAAAAAACCTCTTTTCCGGTCCATGAGATCAATTTTAAACACACTGGAATTAAATGAAGACATTTAAGCCACATTTCTTTGCTGAAATGCATCCGCCAACACCAGAAACTATTTTTATTACGGTCTATGTTTAATAATCAGATCTTCCATTTCATAAGAAGCCGTACAGCCACGTTATTCAAACTCCTGCACTGGCAACGACCCTTTCAGTATCTTTTACAAAACCATCTTTGCACTGAATCACAGCGAATCACCAAGGATAGCTTTTCTATCTAGGAAAATAAAATGGGAAAACGGAAATACATTTGAAAGGCACTTCTCAGAAAAGCAGAAGAAAGCTCCTTGCCAGTGCCCCCGCCAGTCTTGCCTGTCTGTAGGTATTAAAGGTAGAAGCCCTCCAAGCAGGGGTACAAAGATGTGGGAGAAAGCTTGGGATGTGGGATGCAGTCACTGGGAGATACTGAGGTGCACAACATACTGCTGAAGGGTTGCTCATCAAGTTGTTTTTAAAAGGACTGGAAAGATGCTTTTGAATCTCAGCCTCCAGCCCACAGCATGTACTTACAGCACTTAAAAAGCCACAACACCAAAGCTAAACCAGCAGCTGTTCCATATTTCTCCTGACTCCAAAGCCTTGCCAACATGGTGCCTCCTGGAGCTATTGGGAGAGGGATGAATAGAATTCTTCTAGGTCTGGGGCTTCTGCAAGGCACAGGCTGGAAAATCTTATCTGCTGCAGGTAACACCAGGGGGAATTGTGCTTCCCCTCCAAAGGAACAATGACTTTATCCTCACACGTTTTGCAGGCCTGAGTCTACAATGGTTGATGTTCAGCATCAACAGCACACAAAAGGTGCACCACCCCTAAAACCGGCCCAAAAAGCTTTCAGTGCTTCATCTCTGCCTTAGGGGCTGCTTTGTAAAACAGGGTTTAGATGAGTTTGAGCAGACAGCACTCTCGGGCAGCATCGATGCAGCAAACTTGTTATCTCATCAATATCTGTCATTGCCGAACGCAGCTGAGCTTGCCGTAATGGAAGTACCATCCATTTGGAATCCCAAAGGTAGGCATCAGTTTTGGATCAATGCTCTCAGAATCCCCATTAACTATTATGATGCCAGTGATGTTTTAGATCTATTTTGGGTTAATTTCTTTATGCCAGGACAAGGCCACAAAAGGTCTTCACTGCACTCTTAAAACAAACAAGAAGTAGTGGCACTGTAAGCCCAGCATCCCCAGAACCGACACGGTTCCAAGGAAACCCTTTTCCTTCCAGCTCTCCACTCCCAAATCACCATGCTGTCTTTCTCTTCCAGCTTCTCCTCGGGGACTATTGCCTGTCCCCACTCCTTAGTCACATGCCAAGATGTCCCCCATAGCAGAGCCCCAGCTGACAGTGCCCTCCACACCCCGCTCTGTCCAAAATGACAGCCCCGGGCATGCTGGGAGGTAAAAGATACAGCATGCAGAAATTCCTGAACAGGAGAGTCTTTACCTGTCACAGGGATATCAGCAGTACTCCTTCTCTCTCCTCTACCACAGTGAGTGGTATCTTAAATGAGATCACTGGAATGATATCAGTTCAAGAGCTAAAAATAAAAACGTAAAATTCCATCCAAATGTCTTGAAAGAGACACCTCTACCATTTTCTAATCTTCTTAAACAGGCATCAAAAATTATTACACCTAATGATTTATTAGTGAATGAAATCAGCCAATTAGACAGCCAAGAACTGATTTTTCAAAAGGATCACACAGAACAATTTAATATCATGGGAGATAATAAACATGTCCTGAGCTGGATCACTGAATGATGTCGCTAACAGCCTGTCAGAGATAGCAGATATTTACAGCAGAATAAGGCACCACATCAGATAAAGTAAAATACATCCTCTCAAGGATATAGAAATACGGAAAGGAATTGCTCCAGCTGCATTTTAAGTCTGGGTAATTTCCATAACTCCTGAGAAAAAGCTTTGTGTGGTGCTAGACCTCTTCTTAAGTCACCCATCCATGCTCCTGGTATGCAGGAGACCCTCTGGAGCAAGCAAGGGAAAAATAGCACAGACCTCACAGGCTGGATGCTGTTTTAAAGAAAAAACAATATCCAGACAACTAGTAAATTGGGTAACCTAAAACAAAGGTACCTTTAAAATCCTTTTATCTACACATTGCCACTAGATGTGAGACCTAAGCAAGTATTTGTGCTGTTCTAGGATTGATGGCTTCCTACTGAAGCCTTGTTCATGCAGCTGTTACTGAAAGACACTTTTTTGATAAACTCGTAAAAAGCAAGTAAATAAACCTGTAAAAAGCAAGTAAATAAACCTATAACTCAACTTGATTTATATACATCATTGCGAAATACTTTGCAATTTAATGTAACTGTGCACAGCCTACGATCTATCTGGTCCTATCCAGAATTTTGAAACCTCCTTATATCCCCAAGCCATTTGAGTGGGTGAGTAAGAACAGGAACTCTGCACTTGAATGAAGTCCACATTTTGTTTGCTTTGATACCAGTTTGCCCTTAGACGGGATGTAATACAGCTGGTGTTCCTGTTTACTCTGAGGAAGGCTGCAAATTGCACCTCCACCAATCTCTGGAGATCCAGCTGTGAGACAAGAGCCCAGTAGCAGGTATCCACAACTGACCTTAACATTTTTCTGAGTATCTGCAATAGTCCGTGTGTCACCTGCATCAGTTATTCCATGGATATGTGCAATATTCCTCCTGAATGAAGAAATCAAGAAAGGTGTTAGAAGATATCCCACAGAGCGAAATATTTCCAAAATTGTACTCAGGAGACCAACAGCATTTGGGTTGAGGAGACCTCCATCCTGATGATGGTGATTTCTAAAACATTTTGGAACCGGAGAGATGCTTCTCAGCACTAACACTGCATCAGGGAGGAACACTGAGCCCCAATCTCAGGCAACACAGTGAACGCCACCTGGTGAAACCACTGGTAAGAGGTTCAACTAAAAAGTAAATTCCTCTCCCTTAATCCTGCAACACCAGCTTGCAGAGATGACTCAAACAAACCTGGATTCATTCACAAGGCTACAAGTTTGGATGATAAAGGGAGCTGTTGAGGAGTAATGACATCTACATGTTTTTGACATAAGGAAGCCTGTTAAAATTAGAGCCACATAAAACCAAAAAGCAGCCTCCCTGGATGACCTTTCTGGCTGATCTGCGTTGCTGTTCCACACGAATGCAGTGCCCAAGCTGTGAGTTTGCATCTGCCATGCCCCAGCCTGGGACGCTGTGCAGGGGATGGGGCATGAGCCATCTGACATGGTCATGGTGCAACTCACATCCCAGTACACTGCCGTCATCTCCCCACTGTCCCCTGCCTTGGGGTCCTGATGCTCTGGTGTCACGGGTACAGAGAGCTGGGCTCCCCTCCACATCCCCCCTGCCCCATGGGCCTGTCCTGGTCTATACCTGAGGGGAAGGTGACACTTATCCCCCCTGACCCATAACCCCTTTCAGTTCCTATCTGAGAGGAGGATGCAAGCGCCCCCTCTCCTATCTGAGGGGAAGGCACCATTGCCACCTAAACTCTCCCAGTCTCTACCTGAGAAGACATCATTTCTCCTCTGTACCCCTTTCATGGTCTCTACCTGAGGGCGAGGGGCCATTTCTCCCCAAGGCCCTTCTCCAGGTCTCCACCTGAGGGGTAAGCACCATTTTCCCACTGCACCCCTCTCACAGACTCTACCTGAGGGGAAGGTGCCATTTCCATCTACACTTTTCTACTGGTTGATACCTGAGGGGAAGGTGCCATTTTCCCACTGTATCCCCCTCCCAGTGTCCATCTGAGGCAAAGGTGCCATTACCCTCCGTATCCTTCTCCCAGTCTTTGCCTAAGAGGCAGGTGCCATTCCCCCCGAACCCTCTCCCAGTCCCTACCTGAGGCGAAGGTGCCATTGTCTTCTTTACCCCTCTCCTGGTGTCTAATTGAGGGGAAGATGCCATTGCCTCCCGTACCCCTCTCCTGATCAATACCTGAGGGGATGGCGCCATTTTCCCACTGCACCCCCCTCACAGTCTCTACCTGAGGGGAAAGCACCACGCCCTCCTCGTACCCCTCTTCAGATCTTTACCTGAGGCGAAGGCACCATTCCCTTACTCTGTACCACCTTCCTGCTCTCTACCTGAGAGGAAGACGCTATTGTCCCCTGTACTCCTATCCTCATCTCTACCTGAACTGAAAGTGCCATTTTCCCCATTAGCTGCTCTCCTGGTCTATACCCGAGGGGAAGGCGCTGTTGCCCTCTGTACCCCTCTCCCAGCCTCTACCCGAGGGGAAGATGCCATCGTCCCCTGTACCCCTCTCTGGTCTCTACCTGAGGCGAAGGCGCCATTCCGCCCGCACCTCCCTCCTCCCCGTCCCCGACGAACGGCCACAGCGGCCGCCCGCCCTCGCTCCCTCCCAGCCGTGCGGGCACCGGCAGCGGCCGAGCGCGCGGGGCGGGCGGCGAAGGCAGCGGGGCGGAGCGGGGCGGAGCAGCGGGGCCATGGAGCGGCCCCGGCGGCGGAAGGGGCGACGCCTGCGGGGCGGGCGCTGCCGCCGTGTCGGAGCGGCCGGCGCTCGGCAGCCGCCGCCGGGCATGTCACCGCCCGGCCCCGGGCCCGGCGAGGCGGCCGCGGGCGCCGGGGAGGCGGCGCGGCGGGACCCGCTGGCCGCCGACCTGCGGTGCAGCCTGTTCGCCGCCGCGCTGCAGAGCTACAAGCGAGACTCGGCGCTGAGGCCCTTCCCGGGCCGCTACGCCAGCGGCGACACCAAGGACTTCGAGGGGCTGGTGAGTGCCGGGGAGCAGCCGCTCCATGGGCGAGTCGGGGCTGCCCGCTGAGGGGAGGGTGGCGGCGCCTCGGGGGCGTGGATGAGGCTGGATGAAGGGTTTATCTAGTCACAGGATCCAGGTTTAAAAGCACAGTTGGGTTTCTGAGCGATAAACCCGCGCTTGGAAGCGCCAGCGTGGGGGTGTGAAGTAGCGAGCGATGGGTAACAGGTAACGAGAGGACGAGGGGAAGCGGCCTCAAGCTGCCTCGGGGAGGTTTGGATTGGATATTAGGGGAAATTTCTTCGCTAAATGGGTGGGCCAGCACTGGAACAGGCTGCCCAGGGAAGCGGTTGAATCACTGTTTCTGGAAGTGTTCGGAAAACTTGTACATCTGGCGCCTGGGGACGTGGTTTAGCGGTGGGCTTGGCATTGCTGGGGTAGTGGTTGGTCTCGATAATCTTAGACTTAGTGTCTCTGTGATTCTAAGAAGTGTTAGAAGAGCTTGCCCCTACATGAAATTCAATTAGTATCGAAGAGTTTGCATATTACATGGCCTGAACACCCCATGTCAGTCCTGCTGCACATACTGCCCTGTGGCAGCTTGTCTTCTCTCAAGAGTGTGTTTGCTTGTTCCTGTACATACCCTACAGATACTGCCGGTAAATATAAATATTTGTAACTTCTCTGGTATTTGCCTTCAGAGCAATTGACAGACTTTCCCACAAACTGGATAGAAATGTTTATATCTCAGAACAGAACCTGTTTTTCAGTTTGTTGGGGTGAAATATTGTTTTGTTTTCACTAGAGGTCCCTGTTTAATCACAATGGAATGAAGGAGCTTGTGCTAAATGCCTCTGTTGTTAGCGTGCAGATATCGATGCTCTACCAAGCCTAAAAGAACTTCTGGAGTCTGTTCCAAACACAGAAAAAAGGACCTGGGATCTGTTCAGTTGGATTCTATCATCTAAAGTGTTCACGATACAAAGTACTAAGAAACATGAGGTAAATTTTGAATTCTTAAAGTCTAGATTAGAGTTTGTTATTTTAAGACAAACTTGCACTTCAGGGAGTATTTCCTCCTGCCAGAATTGGTTATTGTGAGAGCTTGTATATACAGAGGTGGTTGTTTTGTATGCAAATAAAATTTTCAGGAACACTGGTTGGAAGAAATAGTTATCACTGTCAGTTGTTGATGATGGGCAGTGATTGTAGTTGGTTACTTGCATTAATGTAGCATGTATGTGAATGTTCTAGACCAAGATAGCCCAAGCTGTGTGTCACTGAAAAAGACAACTCTGTCTTCTGCCTTCTGCCCCCAAAATGGAAGGGTTCAGCACCACTGAGGTACTTCTGTAACAGGGATCAAAATAGTTGTAGAGATTAGCAGCAAGATGAAAACAAGTTCTGTTTTCACTTTTTTTTCTCTTCCAAGATCAGCTGATGAATGTATCATCTGCGTAGCCAAAGTAGAATTGTGATATCGTCCTTACGTCATCAAATAATTCATAATCACAGTTCAGGGTTGTTTGTTTTTTTTTTGGAAAGAAGAATTAGGGTTTAACTTTGATAGCAAGAAACTGTCAGAATTTTTACTGTCTGCTTACTCCTTCTGAATTGTGACAGTGTTGAATTCTAACTTGGAAAAGCATAATCAGAATACATCAAGCAATGTGAAGGGACAGGAAGCAGAATTTCCACTGAGTAATCTGACCCCATAAACCAACACTCATATTCCTTCCTGTTTTTAAGTATGAGAAGATCCAGGAGCTTACAGGGATGTCTGGGACTGCAGTTCCTGCTCCAGACTATCTCTTTGAAGTTGTATATTGTGATCAAATGAATACCAAGTTTGCTGAGACCAAGGGAGAGCGGGACCTCATCTATGCCTTCCATGGGAGCCGCCTGGAGAACTTCCATTCCATCCTGCACAACGGCCTGCACTGCCATCTGAACAGGGTGAGGCTCCTGCTATTGGCAGTGTCTTCTCTTTGTCACTTGCAGATAGGGACACTTTTTAAAAATAGGCCCAGAATCCTTCTGGGGGTGTGAAATGCGCTGATGATCTTGTGCTGCTGTTTTCACTTCAGCGTAGGCCTTAGTGGATGGTTGTGTTGGATTTTCTAGTGCAGCCCAAGGGTAAAAACTGGAAGTGGCGTGAAACCCTTTTCTCCAGCGTGACAAATTATGACTATCCTTTGCTGCTTTGTAAGCAAGTGTAATTCCTCTGAAAGTATTGGCTTGTCTGACAGCCTGCAGCTGGAGAGTGCCTGTCCAAAAGGGTGGAGGAGGATAGTGGCCCAGGCATTGTAGAGATTCTCTCTTTCTGCATGGCCTCTTGTTTAGGTCAGCAAAGTTTTAGGTGCTACTCACGAGTGGAGCCTTCTTTAAATGGCCTGGTTTAGGGAGACATCTCGTAGGATTTGCACCTCTTCTGATTTCAGTGGAAAGGCAGTTGGAACTCCTGACTTTTTGTGTCAGCTGTAAGTCAGCTTTGACACAGCACCTGCTTGACCTTCCAGTCAACCTGGACTATGCCTTTTCCCCGCATTCTAGATGAGTAATGGCTTACCGGGTACAATGGACTTACTGGATTAACAATTTTAGCCAGTATGGCAAATCCTCTGATTCCAAGTTATTAAAACACTTTTATTTGAAAGGCATTCATAACTGAAAAGTACTTCCCTCTTTTCTAGTAAAGCATGGATTTAATCCAAGTAAGGCCTTGCCTTGTTTGGGGAGGCTGGATTATTTAGATGATGACAATCTCAATAAATCAATGAAATGCCTTTTAACAGCAGGGCAGTCATGTTGATGTAAAATACTTATGCTGGCAAATGAAATCCAAATCTGGGAAAACATGAATCTGTCCACACCAGGGGCTGTGCCAGACAGATAATTTGAGGGATAGGAGAGGGCAGCAGCCCCACCCCGAGGAAGCTGTGCCAGGACAAAAACAGTGCATGTTTTTGTTTGGCCTTTCTGACCAGGCCCAACACGGGTCAGAAAAGCCTTTTGTAATTTACCTTCAGAAGCAGAACTGTCAGTCTGAAAGCAAAGAACACTTGTATGTTGTCTGAGGTTTGCACTAGAGGATTTTAGGACAGATTTCTGCTCCGTTTCAGACGTCCCTGTTTGGTGAAGGCACCTATCTGACCAGTGACCTGAGCCTGGCTCTGCTCTACAGCCCTCACGGTCTCGGCTGGCAGCGAAGTGCACTGGGCTCTGTCCTCAGCTGTGTGGCTGTTTGTGAGATCATTGACCACCCAGATGTGAAGTGCCAGGTGAAGAAGAAAGGTGAGTCTACCGCAGTAATAACTCTGGGTAGTAACTACATCTGTACTTCATGTTGTTTTTCTTTCCCTGTTAATATTAGCAGCTCCTTGAGCACTGGGTGGGAGACCCACCTCCTTGTCACCCTGGTCTGGGCCATAATGTCATCCATACCAAGGATGACTAGGAGTGGTATAGCCTCAGGCAAACTTCTCAGTCTATTCTTGGATGCTGAGGGATTCAGGGGAATACCAAGACTAGATCTTTGGTTATCTCGTTCCCATTCTTCTGGTGGGTGTGTATGTGTGTGTTGGTTGCTTGCTTTTTTCACAGTTGCTTGAAGTTCTGTGTATTTTGTTTGCTTTTCTGTTCCCCCTAAACCCTCTTCTTTTCTCCTCCCAATTCAGATTCAGAAGAAATAGACAGAAAAAGAGCAAGAGTGAAGAACAGCGAAGGGGGGGATGTACCACAGAAATACTTCGTTGTCACAAACAACCAGCTTTTACGAGTTAAATACTTGCTAGTGTATTCACAGAAACAGCATAGGAGGTAAGAGTTCAGCTGTCTAGAGTGATGAGTGTGCTATAACAGCCAGATAAACACTTCTCATTGTTGAAAAGCAACACAAAACAAGCAAAAAAAAAAATACACTGCACTGCCAGAATTTGTTTTCAGCCTGTTTCCTATGGAATTGAGGCTTACAGCATCATGTTGCCTCTGTCTCACTCTTTGACGTTCTCAGGCTCAGCTAAATTTCCTTTTTCACCAGACCTGTAAGCACTTACTATCTTTGAGAGCTCAAATAATCTGTTTGTGGCAGGAGACCAAGAATGAAAGTCTGGTGAGTGTAGCTCTTAAAACTGGGGCAGGTTTAATTCAGCTCTTATCTATCCTGAGTGGCAGCATTCACTCGGCTAATCAACACATGCCTGAGGGCCAGGCAGCTACAGCTCCAAACCACAGAGAAAGGTGTGAACATGGGGAGAAAAGACAGGATTGTGCACGGAGACTTAGGGAAAAGGGATGTGGTGAAAATCAGGCTTTGTTAGTTACAGGGATTGTGGAACAACTTCCTGTTTTTATTGCATTCTCTTAACCACTTAATGAAATCTAAGGTACTCTTTGCCAAGGTATCCATGGATCTCTGACAGAATCCGTGCACTTTTCCCTTTTCAGGCCTTCTAGTCAATCTTCCTGGTTCTACACCCACCGTTTTGCCATAATGATGATGCTGTACCTGCTGTTGTTGATAGTGATTGGGGCCAGCAAC